CCAGAAATTGAGCCAAACGCTGAATCTGCTGGCACCTTGATCATGGACTTCCCAGCCTCCAGAACTATGAGCAATAAATTTCTGTTTATAAGCTGTCCAGTTTATGGTATTTTGTTATAGCAGCTTGAACGAATGAAGACACCCTCTTTGATTATCCTGTCAGTCACAATATAGCCATTTCTCTATGAGAATGTATAAGAACTTCAGATGGTTTCATGTCTTAGCTAAACAGAAGCATCTTCAGGATTCTGACCACTTGGCTCAGAAATTGCATCACTTGGATCCTCTCAAACATGTTTGACCATGGAATAGCCAGCCACTTATGATAAAAACACAGCCCAAAGCATGCTCAATCCTTTGGATTTGGGCCCTTTCAGCTACCAGATGTCCATACCTGATGGTACTGGCAAAGTACAAAGTGCCCAAACCTCCCAGGCTTCACAGGAGAAACCTCTCTGCAAATCTCAAGTCACAGGTGGTGATCAGAGGAGCCATTCCAGTACCAGTCATTGCTGGACATTCCCAGGGTGCTGCTCCCAGGTGCTCTGGGATGTATCCACTCTGTCCTTCCACTTTAGCCCAGTGGACATTGTGTCCTCTTCTCCAGCGCCTTGCCCACAGTAGCCACTCAGGAAATAGTTGCCCAATGAATAAGCAAAAAACAAAGATGACTCTTCTGTGGGTAAAACTTTTGTCATGTTGCCATTTGTTTAGATGAGAAAGAATACAGAACAATGAGATCAAACTCTCCCAAAATTTTTGGGAAAGTCGTTCATATCCTCTATGGTTTTATGATATTGCCTGTTATCCCCCAGAGGGACTCAGATAACATGCTTTAAGTGAAGTTGTTGAACTAAAGGTAACCCTGATCCTGTACAATTTGATGGTGCTTTGCATACATACTAAACACTAGCCAAGAAATTATGCAATATTTAGAGAAAATAGAAATCATCCAAATCAGCATTTCCAGGGTGTTTTTAGAGTCAGCAAGAATACAAGAGATCAGCAATTTTCTCTCTCAAGTTGTTCTGTAGGGGAAAAAAAATTATCCAGGCCCAAGGAAATCCTGTAGGAAGGGTACCTGCATAATTTTGTTAACCCCATTATTTCCCAAACTCTTTCCTTTGTGGAATGCCACATGCCATATGAGTTAGTAAGCTTCTAAAACAAAGATACCCAACAATATAATGACTTAAACAATATGTTTATTTCTATCTCATGTGACAGCCTAGGGCAGGTGGGAAGACTTCTTTTCACACAGTTATTCAGGATTCCTGGGCTTCTTCCATCTGGATTTTCCATCATCCCCTAGAACATTGTCTTTATCTGTATGGTCAAAACTGGGTGACAGGCATATCTGTGTTCACAGGTAGGGAAAAATTGAAGAATCGCGAGTGCAATATTTTAAGGCTCGCATCACTTTCTCTCACATGCCATTGGTGAAAACTTAGTCACATGGTCACTCCTAGCTTTGAGGAGTGAGAATTGTGGTTCCTAATAGAAGACTATTTCTCTATTACTTTTTTATAGCTACCAGTCTGTTGATGTGTATCATGGTCACCCCACCAGTCTGCGACAGAGTAGAGGCTAGAATCTAGGTCTTCCAACTCCTAGTTCAGAGTGCTCATGATCACACTAGCATTTCTGTACTCAGTCAACATATATGGAGTCCTCCTCTATGCCAGGAACTATGTCAGTATGAGAACAGAGTCTCCCAATTACATATTTACTATAGTATCAGGCTTTATTAATGGACAAGCTTTCAGATACTACTTTAGTAGTTTTATAAAGCTTATCTTATAGTTTTGCATCATGTTGCTTACATTTGTATGTATCTGCCAAAAGGATACATACTTTTGGTGAGGAACAAATACAATGAACAGAGTAGAGAAGTGTGAAATAGATCCCAATGCATTTGAAAAGTGAGTATATGAAAAGGTGATTTAAAATTAGAACTGAAAAGATAAATGTGCATTAGAATGGTGGGTGCTGGGTTCACCAACTAAGTATATGGAAAAAATAAAGCTGAATTTTACCTCATTTCTTAGAACACGAGGAATTGCTTATGCAGGACCCCAAAGCTGAGGACTAGATTTTCTTTCGGTTGCAGCAAGAAAATCATATGACCCCACACAGCCTGGAAGGCTCCCAGTTAGGTACCAATACATAGTGAACCAATCAAAGACTGCCAAACACACTTGAAAGCCAATTAGAAAAACTGCCTTACTTCCAAAAATCTTATCCTATTAGAACTAGAAAATCCCTTCCTAAAAAAACACTTGCCAAAGACTATCTCGAGTCTTCATCCTTTTAGTTTATAAAAATCACTCTCCTTTCAAATCCCTTTCAGTCTCTAATGAAAGAGATGGTAGCTAACTCCCTTATTGTAAGCCTGAATAAACAGCCTTTGATTAACTCTACAGGTAGTTTTTGTCCTTTCGGGAAAAAAAAAAGAAAAATTACAGGTTGGTTAAATAAAAGAAATAAAAGGAAATCATGAACATTTGGGAAGAAAACATATTTTAAAGAATAACCCTGAAATGGAAGGAGTCTTTTGATACAAGACACAAATCCAGAAGCCAAAAGTAGGGCCGGCCCGGTGGCGCACTGCTACAGTGCGCCGCTTGGGAGTGTGCCGGTGCTCCCGCCGAGGGTTTGGATCCCACATACAGACCGGCCGCTCACTGGCTGAGCGAGGTGCGGGCGCAACACCGAGGGTTGCGATCCCGGCCGGTCCCGGTCCGGTACGGGCGCGACACTGAGGGTTGCGATCCGTTGCCGGTCACGAAAAAAGATAAAAAGTAAAAAAAAAAAAAAAAAAAAAAAAAGAAAAATGTTAATAAGTTGGGTTGCATAGTAAGCTAAATATTTTTCCATAAAACATTTTCAATAGGAAAATAAGAAGATAAAATGTAAAATATATAACAAAGGATTAATTTCTCTGGTATGCAAAGAACTTTTAAAAATTAATGAAAATAGTTGAATAGTAAAATGGATAAAAACAGTTCACAGGAAAATAAATACAAATAACCAATAAATATATGAAAAAAGCTTATTCTCACATAAAATGGAATATATTAAAATGAGACACTTTAAAAAAATCTATTAGAATAACAAATATTTAAATGTTTGGCAGTATCAAGTATTGGTGAGGCTATAGGGAACAGGTACACTTATACCACGCTGGGAGATGTATAAATCAATATTGGATTTTGGGGGGTTCAGTTTACAGTAACTATCAAAATTTAAGTTGTGTATACCCCTTGATCCTGCAATTCCACTTCTAGAAACTCATGTAAATGAGCAAAAATATATATGTTCAGGGTTGTTAGGGTTTTATGTAAAGTTTTTTTGGTGTGGCACAGTTTTCATTTCTTTGGGATAAATGCTCAGGAGTATAACTGCTATTTAATTTTTAAAGAAACTACCAAACTATTTTTCAGAGTGGTTTTGTCATTTTCCTTCCCATTAGCAAAGTATGAGTAATCCATTTTTATGCATTCTTGTCCAAATTTAGTATTTTCACTATTTTTAATTTTAAAAAATCTTGTGTACTCTGTTTTTACCCACCTTTTTTCTTTTTGCTTACATTTGGGTTCATTCTTTGTTGTACATTCTATAGGTTTTGACAGTTGTATAATGACATGTATTGGCCATCAGAGTATTTCTCAGTATTTTCTATTTTAGCCATTCTGTTTGGTATGTAGTGATATCTCATTGAGGTTTTAATTTGCATTTCCCTAATGGTTAATAATGTTGGACATCTTTTCGTGTGCTTATTTGCTATTTGTATATGCTGTTTGGTAAAATATCTGCTCATGTCCTTTGCCCGTTTTCTAATTGGATTTTTTTTTTTTTTTTAGATTTTTAGAGCAAAATTTTATTTTGCAATGATGAAGATGGACAGAGAACATCTTCCTGATCAAAGAGAAGAGTGATTGAACATGAGTGGAGAGGAAGGACTCAACAAATAGAAGTACCAGATATGAGTGGAGAGGAAGGACTCAACAAATAGAAGTACCAAATCACCAAGCTGTAATCAACAGGGAGAGCATTGCTTGGGAAATGTGTTCTCCAGCTCAGAGCACTGTGCAGAACTTTTCTTACTGTTTAGTTTTTTATTTAAAATTTTTTTATTTTAACATTTATTTGTACAGTTTTTTGGGGTACAGTGTGTTGTTTCAGTGCATTCATATACTGCACGAATGAGAGTTCTTTATATTATCTAGATACTAATCCATTGACACGTAAAACTTGGCCAATATTTCCTCCCAATCTGTAGATTGCATTTTCATCCTCTTAACAGGGTCTTTCACAGAGCAAAAGTATTAATTTTGATGAAGTCTCATTTACCAGTTTTTTCTTTCATGGGTTGTGTTTTTGGTATCATATGTAAGAACTCTTCACCTAGTTCTAGTTCCCTATATTGGTTTCCTAGGATTGCCATAACAAATCACCACAAATTTGGTGACAAAAACAAGAAATTTATTTTCACCTCCTACTTTAGGCAGAATAGATATGAATTATTTTCACGTTTGCTAATTTTCATCAGGTCTTTCTTTTTTCTGGAACGGTAAGGGGATCGCAACCCTGGGCATGGTGTGGTCTGCACCACACTCAGCCAGTGAGCGCACCGGCCATCCCTATATAGGATCTGAACCTGCAGCCTTGGCGCTACCAGCACCGCACTCTCCCGAGTGAGCCATAGGGCCGGCCCGCCATAAGATCTTTCTAAATACAATAACTATACTTACTCTCAAGCTTTACCCTTTTTTCTATTAGCTTTGTTTCCTTGGGTGTTAACTCTTCTATTTGTTGATGTTGTGGTCTGTGCCAAATCATATCTTTGGTACTTAGCCCTACATTCACCTTTCTGTAACCCCCTTTGTATTCCTGGAGCTGGATGCCTGAAATGACATATCTTAGACTCCTTTGCTAGATGGGTTCCAGTTAGTTTCTGTACATGGAAGACAGTTGTGTAAGATTGAAGTGGGAAAGAAAGGAGGAACTATTCTGTTTCAGGGAGTGCCTCCTGGCAGTGGCTCCTGTTCAGTGGCAGTGGTGGAGCCACAAGCAAGACAAGAGGTGAGTGCAAGCACATAGGCTACAGTCCAGGGGCAGTAGCCTCTTCCTGATTTCTGGGTAACAGCATCCCTGTCCTTTTTCTTCTCCAACCTTTCCAAAATTATTGTAGCGAATTCCTTGACTAGTATTTTGGTATCAGGAGTGGTCCAAGGACACAGGCTTTCAAAGGTATAAATCTAAGGTTGTTTATCTGAATGGATTGGGCTTGAATCAGTGATGGCCTTCTGGCCTGTGGAAGGGGGTCACAGTTAGTCTGAAGCACGCAGTGGCAAAACAGGTACTTAAATTAGCATCTGAGGATGGCTTGGATGAAATGCAATTGTACCCAAGTCTTTGGAAGAGATAAAGGAATTTTTTCCTTTCCATTTCCAGGGATTTGGGGATGGAGTAGAATGCTGCAGGGTATGCTTTCTCTGCCATCTTGCTCCAATCTTCTGTATTATTTTTCAAAATACAATAATTATGCTTAGTTATTGCAGTTAAGTTTATTTTTACAAATGATTAAGCAAAAATATGTGGCAATACTTAACCATATTTAAAGGAAATTGAGTCATTTGTCCTATTGTTTCAATATCCTAATTCACATACTGACAGGGACTTGAACTGTAGCCATGGTACCCTGGAGGAAATGATCACATTTATTTGGTTATTTCATTCTGTCCTGGAAAAAGACTAGCCTCAGGGCATTTCTGCCTATTTTTCAGTTATGCTGTAAACCAGTACACCACAGAATTGCCTCTTTCCACATGATGGCTTTTGTGGTGGATGGCAGATTTCCCTGAGGCTACATAAAAAGACAGGCTTTCACAATGTCACTGGCTGACAGCCAGACTCAACAGTCTTGGTGTGATTTTGGGGCTAAAGTCATTCCACCTTTTGTAATAGTTAAAGTCTGCTGTAACTGGCTGCATTCCCATAAGGTTAGAAGACAATACTTTTTATGCCAACCTCAAAGCTACTCTGAAGCACATACATGAATCTTGGGGTCTCACAGTCCACCAGGAGGGGTGAAGAACATGAGGTACTAGAAAGCATATGGACTTTATAATCAGACAGGTCTGGGTTCAAATCTTGGATCTGTGCCTTGAACAAGTCACTTACCCTCATTTAACTCTGGGTTCTTTATTTGTGAAATGGGAGACAATCAGCTATCTCCAAGGGAAGATTGAATATGATGATTTATTCACTGACTCATTTATTATTGCTTATCTTGTACCAGGTCCTATTCTAAGGGCTAGGGGATACAACATTGAATAGGCAATGCCCTTGCTCACAAGAAGTTTATATTATAATAAGAAATAACAGACGGTAACACAAACCAAAAATAAATAAGAAAATGCTACAATAAAAATAAAACGGTTATATAATTTGGAGTTGCTGCAGTTTCTCTTTTCTCCTTCGCCCAATTTGCCTGCTAAACTACACAGAACCTCATTTTCACAGGCCCCTTGTCTAAGTCAGTGGGCCCTTGGAAAGGGCCTCATGACTCTAATTTCAGTGGCCTAATGTGACTTCTCTAGAAATATTTGCATATCAGCAGGAGGCCAAAGGCCTTTGATCAGACTTTTACTCGACTTTATTGGTGGACTTGTCTTTACTGGTGGACTTTTAGGCTTTGCATGGTCAGTGGAGGTGGTATTTGAGGGCAGGCTGACACTTGCCCAGCCTCTGCCTGATAACATTCTATGAATGTCTTATAGAACTTGTTGTTGGCATCCTGAACCCTTGCTGGGGTCATGATTTAATCAGAATTTGTGGTTTGAGAGAATCATCTCTGATCCTGTCCTTCAAAAACAAAACATGGGTTTGCCAAGAAAAAGTCCAAGGTGTTGAATGTTGCTGCTTCAAGCCAAAGCCTTCTAGGAACACCTAAGTGGGTGTCAGCTTCCAGTCCTCCAGGCTGCTCTCAGCCCACAGCTGGGTTCCCCAGTGGGCAAACTAGGCATACGCTTAAGGCATTTGCAAAATGGGGGCTCACACACCCACAAAACCTTTCAAAACCTTATCCTGAATTTCAGAACTAGAAAATCTTAGAGATGATATTTCAGTGTCATGTTTTATGTAAGTTTTCTGTTATATTAGACTTGAATTACATAGGGGACATAAGCTTTTAGCATTCAGGGCCTCTTTAACTTGCTAAGCCCCACATCACCCCAGGAACTTCCTCACATCTCACTTCTCCAAATTAATGCACAAGGTCTTTACTCTATCGTAGTCCCCTCCGATGGCTCTCCCTTCTGCAGTGCTCGATGTCTGAACCACGCAATCTCACACTTAATCATTCACAAGGCAGGAGGTGATGGTAATCACTGGCATCCTTGACTTACTAGGGCAAATCTCTGTGGGAGAGGGAGGTCTCCTGGACCACTGAGCAATTCATTTTACATGAGGAAGTTTCTCTCAGATGCAGAATATCTTGTTTTCCTGCTATGATCTTGACCCTTGCCCCATCTTTTGTTGCTGTGGTAGGAGACAAAAATAAGAACCCAGGCCTGGAAACGCAAGTATTTTGACTGAAGCTCCACTTGGCTTCCCAAGCCCAAGCTGGGTTGCACCAGGTTCCTTGGGATGGAGACTGGAGGCAGCTGCCAGGGGCAAAGTGCCTACCCATTGGCCTGTGGCCCTCACTGGGTTGGCCAATGAGAAAGGACAATTGTGAGGTGGGGACAACCTGCCCCCATGAGTACCAGGCTGTTGAGGCTGGGCCATCTGCTCCACACTTCCATTCTGACTGCAGTCTGTGGGTCTGATTCCATGCCGGAGGGTAAGAGCAATTCTATTATGTTCCAGGCTGGGTGGGGGTGGCTGCCCGGCTTCTGGCTGGGATATGCCCAATCTCTCCTATCCATAGCAGTGTGGGGATGGATACAGGCACAGCTCTGGCCAAAGCAGCACTGGTGGAGGCAGAGAGGCTTTGGGCTTCTCCCTCAATTGTCTTGACAGCTCCAAGAGAGAAAGAGTTGTTCTTTCTGGTCAAAATGCCTGGGACCATTCTCCATTTTGCCCAACTGACTGTGTGGCAGGTGGCCTACTGAGAGAAAAGGTTGGGGTCAGTGAGGTGGGAGGGTTCACCCATGGGTGAAGTCCAATTAGATAAAGGAGGAGAGGGGACAAATTGCTTTTTAGCTTGACCAGATAGAATGAGGGAAGAAGCACATGAAGAAAAGCCAGGCTGAGCTCTGACCTTAGGCTGGAGTTTGGAATCCATCTCTACCATTGGATTCTACTCAGCAAATATTTACTGAGCAGATCCTATGGACTAGACACTGGGTTGAGTTCATGAGATACAAAGATGAGTGTGCCATTGTTGTTGACTGTAGATTTCGGAGATGTCTTACAGGGTGATTGAGAGGTTCAAATGAGATATAGTGAGAAGAGCCTGGCAGATAGTGGGAACTTACAAAGAATCCTATTTTAAAAAGACATTTTCTGATAGAAGCAACTGAATCTGCCTGGTCTTTGCCAAGCCCATTCCTACTTGCCCCAGTGAGTGTTGAATCTGAGGCATCCTGGTGGGTTTCAGCTGTAGATGCAGATGGTCAGAGTGGGGGGGATTTTGGAGGTTAGCCCCTCATGTGTTAGATGATATGAGTCCCTGGTATGGAAGGTTCTTGTTTTTAGATCAAGCCTCACCAGGGGTGCAGCCACCTAATTCCTGGGGACTCCATTAGGAGTAAGGCCAGCTCTGTCTGACTAGGTTGAGAAGCAAGGAGGAGACTTTTCTGCTAGCAGAATATGTCCGAAGAGCATAACAGTGTCAGCTTGGTTCTTGAAGCAAAGCAGTAGAAAGGGATCCCTGCATTTTAATCAGCAGTCCTTGTTGCCTCCCTTCCTTAAGCCTTCAAGAGTCTTAAGGAGACATAGGACTTGCTCCTTGTCCTTTTTATGTTGGCTGTGGGGATACACTTTCCACCTACTCCTTGTCAAGCCAGAGGACCAGTGGTCCCAGACACTCGGCTGAGGTCAGGAGGTGATGTCTTTTGGAGAGTAGAAGCTTTCAATCAGGAATTCCTTCATGTGGAGAGAGACTTATCCTAAAAATACAGTGGAAGAAGACTCTGCTTTACCATTTCCTTGAGAGTACAAGTGTGTGCATGAGTGTGTGTGTGTGTGTGTGTGTGTGTGTGTGTGTGTGTGTTGGGCATGGAGATACCTACAGCTCTCCCAGGGCTGAGTGAAAACTTTCAGACAATCCTTGTGAGAGTAAGACAGAGCTGAGGTGGTTCCTGGTTCTGCCATTTATCATTAGGTTGTATTGTGTAAAATTGCCAGTATTCTACCATTTTGCTCTTTATGGAAAGGACATTCTTGGGTGGGAGGGGAGAGAGGGAGGAGGGAGGGAGGTGTCAGTGATGGGCCATAATAATCTAATACATTGTATATTGACAAAATAAAAATTTAACGAAAAAAAATGTCAATTTCATATCATTCAACCCAATGGTTGCATTATGCTAAGCCAACATCTTGGCCCCTTCAAGTTTCAAGTTGTGCTATGCTAGAATCAAAAGCAGAGCTACGGTAAGATTAAATAAAATTAGGTTTGAAAGGGCCTTATGCAAATAATACTCCAAAGAACCCTCACCGATTTCAAGGGGTTCTCATGTTTCTCACCTTACACGATTGCATTTAGCAGATTTGGAGGCTGAGTCTGAAAAGCTCTGTTTAATGAATCCTTTTAGAGGCAGTATAATGTGATGAAAGGCTCACTGGTTTGTAAATCATAACAGGAATCTCTCAGGTATCATTTCCTTAATCTCTCAGTTTCCTCATCTCCAAAGTCAGGGTCATTTTCTTTCCTTCATAGAGTTGTTGTAAAGATGGCAATAAATAATGTGTAAAAGTTCCTAGCATAGGAACTGGCATCTGTGAGGATCTAACAAATGCACCCCTCTTCCTTCCCCTCAGCCTCTCCATTTAGAAAAGCAGAGCAGGGGTGAGGTGATTTCTGGGGTCTCTTATGGCTCTGACATTTGAGGAGTTTGTGTGCTTTAAGGTCCTTTCCTGCTGGAGGAGTTGGCACCAAGTTTGGTGACCTCTTTCCCCCATACAGCTCTGTCTCCTGCCAGTCCCAAAGGGGACCTATTGTTGCATTTCACAAGATTTTGCTGTTTCTACTGAAATTCCAACAAGTTAAAGTGGAATTTCTCATACGTTTTAATATGAAAATGAGAGATCATACTATGGCCCTATAGGATCCCCCAAACATCACGGTCATCCCTTCGTAAAATTTGAAAACTAAATTAATCCACGCCCATGTGAAGTTTGCCAGGAAAGCCAGGGCAGTGATTTGGATTTCAAATTGCACCTCTGCCCTCCTTTACTTGTTATCTTTGGGCACAAATTACTGAACCTCTCTGGTCCTTGGATTTCTCTTGTGGGAATTGAGTCTTACCTTCTGGAGTTGTGTGGGTGAAATGAGATTGAAGAGGTAGTGGATACACAGTGGTGGTCCATTGCAGGAGTTCATAAATATTTGATTACTTCTTGTATTAGATTGTTTCTGTTGCTTATAACAAATATACCAGAAACTGGGTAATTTGTAAAGAAACAATATTTATTACTTACATTTTCAGAGGCTGTCCAAAGTCGAGGGAACACATCAGATGTGGGCCTTCTCTGGTGGGCAGTGACAGCCACACAGGGTGTCACATGGTGGATGGTGGAAGCAGAGAGAGCTAACCTCCCTGGATCTGTTTTTAAAGCCCTCGGAACCACATACATGACTGCCATTAAGTCATCACTGAATTAATCCACTTACTAGGTCCTCACAATCTAATCACCTCTTCAAGGCACCACTTTTCAATTACCATAATTTCCCACCTTCCCAACAGTCACAGTGGAGAGTAAGTCTCAATGGGCTTTGGGGGAGGACATCTAATCCACAGAACTTCCCTTCTCTTCACTTACGTGTGGGGCACTTTTAAGTTTATAAAATATTTCTTCATACTTTCTATCAATTTGTTCTCACAATAATATTGCGAAATAGGCTAGGTAAGGATTTTCCACATTTACAGGCAAAGAGCATGAAGTCAGGGAGGTGGGGTGGGGGCAGCTAAGTCACCCAGAGTTAGGTGGAGCCCAGACTAGAAGCCAGCTTACTTGCTTCATAATCTGGAGTTTTTTCATGCAATTTCCTCTTATATTCCCCACACTATGGAATGGAATATTAAATGACAGGATGTGTGGCTGCAGTGCTCTTCCCCTCCTGTGCTATGCCTGAGAGTCTGTTATTGGGATCTGGGAGATCAGAATTTGATTTCTAGCTACTCTATGATTAGCTCTGGGATCTTGGACAAGTCACTTAACCTCTCTGAAGCCCCCTTTCCTCATCTCTAAAATGAGTGCAGTCATAGCTAACATTTACTGAGTACTGACATTCACCAGACACTATTCTAAGCACTTTAAGTGGATTATGCCATTTAATCCTTCAACAAACATGTAAGACAGAAACACATTACAGTTAAGAACAGATTATTTGCAACTAAGCACTAAGATCATAGAACCTGTGCTCCTTATTCTACCCCATACTGTTTCTCAAAATGGTTCTGAGAATTAAATGAGATATTAAGTGAGGTAAGGACTTTAAAAATAGCACTTACAAAGTCAAAAAATTATAATTGGTACTTGGAATTTAGCTTCATGATTCAAGCAAAAGTTTTCTTTAAGGTCACTGTTGAGTGTTAGATTGTAGTCCTGTTTCTTTAATAATGTTTTCCCCTATGGAAATAAAGGTCTTTCAAAATCAAAGTATAACAATTGCTATATCTAAACAAAGAACACAAGAAATTTTGAGATAAAATTTTTTGAAAATTAAGACACCTTTGTACTGACCTTCAAATGTTATTAATTGCTGATTTTCCATGTAGAATTAGGTTAAAATGCAACCTTCTTCTTCAATCAGAATCTGTTCTTGGTGTCAGAAACTTCTTAGGATCATGTACTCATCCCCTTCCCCTCCTCTCTGCAGTACCCCTATCTCATGCTTCTGTCATGGAACCCAGACTGATTGCACCTGTTAGTGGAGAAGTCTGTCCATAACACTGAAATGTTGGGGACAGAATGTGTTCCCTTGGGGTAGGAGAACAGGATCTTGATTTCTAACAGAGGAAGAGAAACCAGAGAACTTTAGAGATCTGTGACTTTGCCCTTCCTCCAAGGGTTTGGGGTTCAGCCCCCAATCACCCTTTATCTTTGGGACTCCTTAGCTGCCTCCACTGTTCACATATTCTGGATTCTCTCCTCCTGTCTCCCTGTCGAAAGGAACACAATCTCATAGATTGTTCCCTCATCATTTCTGGAGAAAACAAGCATCGAGCTCAAAGTTCTCAGGAGTTTTATTGCTAAAACCATAAGGAGAAAGGGTGAAAGTGACAAATAGAGGGAAAGTCTAAAGACACATAAACTCTAACAGGTCTCAGGGCAGGCATTATATCTAAGTACAAAAGTGGCTTTGCTGGTCTCTTGTACTCTCGGCTTCTCATTGAATTCATCTCTCACTTGTTATCTTGGGACTAGCCAAGCCTAACTATCTATTTCCAGCAGCTATTGGGAACACTCTCCTGAGCCCTCCAAATTCAGTAGAGGGCGACAAAGGTACACATCATGATAAGAATAGGTCTTGGATAGACTCATGACACCCAAGGGGTAGCACTTGTCTCTGGTGTCACCTGTTTCTGTTACTGTTGTCTCTCTCTCCTTCTCCTCTCTGTCTGCCAGTCTCAATCTAAATTCCTACTTATAAGACCATATTAGAACTTGATATTTGATGAAAGATGCATCAGATCAGTAGGGAAGAAAAAAGATTAATTTTATTAGAGGTGTTTAAGCAGCTAGTTTTCAAATGGGGAGAAATCATTTGATTACCTTGGATCACAGCTTACATGAAAATGAAAAAGTCAGAGATGCATTATAAAGGGAAAATTCAAAATATATTAGACAATAGGAAAAATAGAAAAAAAAAATAGAATATTTACCAAACCCTAGCATGGATAAGGACTGTGCTGTTAGTGTGTTAGGCCTTGCCCCCCAGTACTTGTTGTTTAGCAGGGAAATGGGTGAGCAAATCCGAAATTACTGTGGAATGCAAGAAGTGAAAAAACAGAGATAAGCCAGGGCACTGGGGGAACACGGAGGCACAGCCAACCGAGGTGGAGGAAGGGGGACAGTAAGGGCTTCTGAAGGAGGTTACATCCACCATGTCTTGAAGACTAAGTAGGGATTAGACAGGTGAGGAGGGGCAGCTAAAGGTGGCCCAGGCAAAGGGTCAGTGGATATTCTCATGGGATGATGCGTCTCTGGTTGTCTAATTCAAGGCAAAGTCCTCTGTGTGTGTGGGTGTCTGTGTGTGTGCTTATGTGTACATGTACACATGCATAATATGCCAAATGGTCAAACATGTGACCCAGGAGAGGGGAAGAGGAAGCAAGAGAATGGGAGAGAAGGAAGGAGAAACAAATGAGAGAAAGGGAGAAAAAGAAGAAGAAAGTAATCAGGGAGAGAAAAGTTGATTAGAGCCATCTGAATCATCATTCCTGGAAAACTAGAGGATGGATTTGTGGCAAGTTGACTCTTGGAGCTTTCCCTGTGCTTGGTCCTGTGCTTAGGTATGAAGAAATTAGAGGAGTGTTACCCCCGCCATCACTGAATTCACGGTCCTATTGAGGAAACAAGACTACAAACAGGGGATAATGCTAAGTCTTGCAAATTTCAGAGCAAAAAGAGATCAAAGTGTGCTGAAATGGTCAGAAAAATCTGACCGGAAGAGGTAAATACTGAGAGAGCACTTCTCAGAAGTGAACTCTGCTGAGATGGAGAGAGTCCTTCATAGGTCCTGATGGGGTGTGGTGTGTGGGATCTGTCTCTGCCATGGCTGACAGTGCACATGTGGATTCCAGGGTTCAGGATGCAGTTGCTGCGAGCTGTCCTACTGCTATTCGTTCTGCCCATTCACGGCCAGGATACCACGAGTGAAGGGATAGAAGTCCTGCCTCCTCTACCCAAGGGGGCCTGCACAGGTTGGATGGCGGGCATCCCAGGGCATCCTGGCCACAATGGGACCCCAGGCCGTGATGGCAGAGATGGTGCCCCTGGTGAGAAGGGTGAGAAGGGAGATCCAGGTAAGAACAAGGGTTTTGGCTTCCTTCATCGCAGACCTCTGCTGGGTAGAGGAGAGCTTCTAGGGCTATATGAGGGTATTGGTTATTAATTGAGGCCTAGATACAAGGAAGAAGCAAAGCTTTTTTATGTGACTCATAAGCAACAGGAAGTGGTTTTGGGTTGGTCTTCCAGGGGTGAAAATAGGTGGTACCACTATAACCAAATACCCTTCCATTCTGCTCATCTGCATCTATTCCCCATCCTCTTTCCATCCCCACTTTCATCCCTATTCCCAATATGTTCATATTCCTAATACTCCTCTTTCTCTCCACTTAATTCCCATTCCATCCAGCGGCATTCAACCACAGTTACTGCACATCTCCTGAAGGTCACAGTCCTGCTTCTGGAGAGCTCTTGGTCTAGCTAGGAAGATAAGTCTGATGCACAAGACTGTTAGTGATAACTACAGAAAGTCTACTGCAAACATGCCAGACTGAATGTGAACAAGTGCCCAAAGTACAGAACACAGAGAAAGTGCCCTCCGTGCAAACCTGGATTAACAATGAAGGCTTCAAGGAGGAGGCAGGGTTTGAGCTAGTCTTGAAGTAGCAGAATAGAGGAGGGAGGGCATCCTAGAGAGAGGGGACAGAAGAGTACAGCTGTGGTTGGTTGAGGCAGCACAAAAAGGCTGGCAGGGTGGAGGGTCTGTCATGGAAACTTACAGGAAATAAGACTGAAGATGAATTTGGGGGCCTACTGGGCGGTGGGGGATGTGGAAGAAGGTAACATCTCTCCCCTTTTGGAAGCTGTCATTGGTGCCTTGCTCTGTAAATCAAGTAAGTTGTGGGTGGGAGTCACAGGGACAGTATTTTATGTTGGAAGCAACCTAGACAGGAGTTCTGTTCCCTGTGGTCACTGAGGTACTCTCATTCTCTAGGTCTTGTTGGCCCTAAGGGTGACACTGGTGAAATCGGAGTGACTGGGGATGAAGGTCCCCGAGGCTTTCCGGGAAACCCCGGCAGGAAAGGAGAACCCGGAGAAGGTGCCTATGTATACCGCTCAGCATTCAGTGTAGGATTGGAGACCAGGGTAACTGTCCCCAATGTTCCCATTCGCTTTACCAAGATCTTCTACAATCAGCAAAACCACTATGATGGCACCACTGGCAAGTTCCACTGCAACATTTCTGGGCTGTACTACTTCTCCTACCACATCACAGTCTATCTGAAGGATGTGAAGGTTAGCCTCTTCAGGAAGGACAAGGCTGTGCTCTTCACCTATGACCAGTACCAGGAAAAAAATGTGGACCAGGCCTCCGGATCTGTGCTTCTCCATCTGGAGGTGGGTGACCAAGTCTGGCTCCAGGTGTATGGAGATGGAAGTCATAATGGACTCTATGCAGACAATGTTAATGATTCCACCTTCACAGGCTTCCTTCTCTACCATGATACCAACTGATTAGCACTAACTCAGGCTTCCACTGGGCCAAATAGCCCAAAAGTCAGTCAAAGAATGGTCACCACGCTTTCATTGTAGTTAGGAGATTGATTTTATTGTAGTTGGAGGGCTCTGAACATTATTCATTCATTTACTCATTCATTTACTCATTCATTCATAAGGTACCTTTCAAAAAAAAATCATATCATATATTCCCTGTCCTGAAGAAGACACAAAGAGAATAGTAACATTTACTGAGGAGCTTCACATACATGATAAGATAACTGACTACAAAGAAGTAGTTGACAATGCTCTTTTATGCGCACTGTCTCTCCTGATGTTCATGTCAATCCTGTAAAGTACACGGGAAAGATATTATTCTCCTCTTTTTACAGTTGGAATCCTGAGGCTGAGAGTAAAGTGAATGTCTAAGGTCATACAAGTATTAAGTAGCAGAGCTAGAAATTAAACCCAGAGCCATGGACTTTTCCCACTAGACTGTGCCACTTTTCAGAAGTACTTGTTCTCTTCGGAGTGTTGGTAGGGGTCTGTTGCCCACCCCACCTGAGGGCCTCTAAATTTGCCTTCATCACAAGTTAAGGCTTCCCCCCAGCAGAGCATCCTCAGAGAAGGTTCCATCCAGCTGGACCACTGAGTGGCCCCTGCCCTGCTCTGTACTTCCTCTTCTCTGTGTCTCTCCTCACACTCTGCCTCGTGGCTGGGAAAGCCACTGCATATCCACATGCTGAGCTTCTCCTCCTTGTTCCTCAAGGCCACCTGGCCAGGAGCTTCTCTAATGTGATAGCTCACATTTTATCAGGGATGAGAATCCTGGGTATGAAAGACATCCTCTCACCAGGCTAGGGCAACAGTCCAGTTAAGGACTGTGCATCCTTCACCTCCGAATCTCTTGCAGGTTCTTCCTAAATGTCTCATGAAGACCAATCTGTAAATCTTGTATCTACCCAGAATTAACTCCATTTAGGTCTCTCAACATAACCAATCCTTATCCACAGAAACATTTTCATTTTAGGAACTCCCTGATTTTAAGCACCCAATCCTTGCTCAATTAGACAGAGTGAATCTTTTCCACTGAGGTTAGGGATGATTGTGCTTTTCAGCACACTCAAAGAACTTTCCCTCAAGGAAGAAGCTTGAGCCTGAAATGTAAAACTCAAGGAGGAATTCGGAGGCCATTCTTTCCTTGAGTACCAACAAGGATGGGGAGTACCTGGGCCTCCTGAATTTATTCTTATTCTTTAAGAATTCCAGGTAGTTGATGGTGGTAAACATTCCCTCAGGAGACAATAACTAGTGTGATGCTCTTCAAAGGTTTTAGCAAAAGCAGAGTTAATAGCATTCTGTATAAATATAGAAATGGAAAGCCTTTTCTTTTTTTTTTTTTTTGCTTACAGTTTTAAATTTTGAATGATTCCCTTTTATGTGTTTACTGCTATTCATTAAGTGATTGTTATTTCTACATACAAAGCTTTGTCTTTTAAAGTGCTTGCATATCATTATTTTCTACTGTCCAGCATTAAAAGTAAAAGAACTTGCTTCACATGACTTTTGTTTTCATTTTTGGAGAAAGAAATGATGTTTAGAGAGGGATGAAGAGGTGAGAGTAAACCTTGTGTGAGAACTCTGTGGTGTGAATGACAGAAAACTCAACTCAAACAAACATAAGCCAAACCAAAAAAGAGAAAAAAGAAAAGGAAAGAAAAAAGGAAAAATTTATTCCTTCACATAATAGAAAATACCAGAGCTGTTCTGTCTTTAAGTAAGGCTTGAACCAGAAGCTCAAGGCAATCAAGTTCCTTTTCTATCTGTCCTTCAACTCTACCTTCCATGGTGCAGGCTTCACCCTCAGGCTGTACACAGTACTTGTATAGCTCTAGGCTTTTCCTCATGATATCAAAAAGATGGTAGCCTGGGCAACTCTCATACCCTCACACCACACCATCAGCTAAATAGACATCATCTTTTCTGGTAGTTCCCAAAGAGGAGAGAGGAAGCTTCCTTTCCCAGAAGCCTCAGCAAGTATATCCTTGCATCTCAAACTTGGCTCTGGCTAGGTTGTGTGCCCGTCTCTGACCAGTCACTGGAGTCAACAGGATGGAATGTACTTATTGTCTTAAGTTAACTGTGGCTTAAGCTAGGGATAGTTAGTGGTATCTTTCCTAAAGCAAAGTCTGGACACTGTTACCAGAAGTGGGAGAGTGGATGATAGATACAAAATAATACCTCTCCACAACAAACTCTTGATGCTATGTGTGAGCTTTTCCAGGTTTCTCAGAGAGAGATTGCTGGAAAATTACTACTGGTTTTCCTAAAAATTCATCACACAGCTAACGTCTGGCCATGCTCACAGTCTCACATCTGGGTAGGGTGGTATCCTTACAGCTCTGGACATGGTCTCACATTCACGCTAAGATCCCTGGGGCAGGATCATTTCTTTGTGGTACCAGAAGCACAGAAAGGGCCAATCTACATAACACCTCCTGAGAGAAATTGTGGCCAGGATTTTAGAATTAATAGCTCCATGATGCCTTCAAGTATAATTGTGAATTTGTCTATTTCTCTCTAGTCTAGTCAGCTTTTGCTTTGTATATTTTAGAGCTCTATTGTCAGGTATGTACACATTCAGTATTATGTCTTCTTAGTGAATTTACCCTTTTATCATTATGTAATATCCTTCTTTATCTCTGGCAATTTTCCCTGTTTGGGGGTCTACTTTGTCTGAAATTAATATAAGCACTCAACTTTTTTTTGATAATTGTTTACATGATATTTCTTTTTCCATCATGTTACTTAAATATATCTATATGATTATATTTAAAATGTGCTTCTTACAGACTGCTTTTAGTTGGGTCTTATTTTTATCCAATCTAAAAATCTCTGTTTAGACATTTATACGTAATAAAATTGTTGCTACTGTTAGACGTAAGATGACCATTTTAGATGTTTTCTGTTTCCTGCCTCTGTTTTGTTCTCTTTCTTGACTTCTTTTGGATTATTTGAAAATTTCATAATATTTTATCTTCATTTATTTATTGGCTTTTTGTCTATATCTCTTTGCAGTACTTGTTACAAGTTGCTTAGGGATTACAATGTATATGCCTAAATTTTCAGAGTATACTTAGAGCTACTATTTTACCACTTCAAGTAAACTGTAGAAGACTTATAACCATATAGGTTCTTTTATCCTCTACCTTTGTGTTACAGTTGTCATATATGTTATACATCTATATACATTGAAACATCACAGTGTTATAATTTTTGCTTTCAACAGTCATGTATTTTAAAGAATTTAAGAGCAGAAAAATATTGTATTTATCTAGATATTTATTGTTTCTTTTGTTTTTTTATGTATTCCTAAAGTTGCATGTTTCCCTCTGGTATAATTTCCCCTTAACCCGAAGAACTTTTTTTAAAGAAATTTTTAACATTTATTTGTACATTTTTGTGGGGTACAATGTGTTGTTTCAACATATGCATATACTGCACAATGATTCACTTAGGTAGATAGCATAGTTTTGTAGCCATTAGGCCACCACTTCCTTGCCCCACCCTCTACCCCTCCCAGCCACTGGTAACCATTATTCTACTCTCTACTTCTATGAGGGCCCAATTTTTTTTTTTTTAAAGATCCTACATAAGAGTGAGATTATGCAGTATTTGTCTTTCTGTGCCTGACTTACTTCACTTAACATGATGGTTTCCAGTTCCATACATGTTGCCACAAATGATAGGATATCATTTTTTTTTTTTTTTTTAAATTTATTTTTTGTCTTTTTCCGTGTCCGGCAACGGATCGCAACCCTCAGTGTTGCCCCCGCACCGGACCGGGGACCGGCAACGGGACTGCAACCCTCGGTGCTGCCCCCGTGCCTCGCTCAGCCAGTGAGCGGGAACCG